GCCAGACATTTTCTAATGTGTAAAAGAGCATAAAAGATACTCACCCTTGGAATAATGTAGGATACGTAAATTTCAAGACAGACAGGACATACTGAAAAACAAATAACAAGTTATTTGACAATTCAAATGATAGAAAATTGATAGGCCATGTGTACATTATGTAAGTGTATTCAAGTTTTTAAAAAGCCTTTATTTCCCCCCCAAATCACAAATTGAGCATTTTCCAAGTCATACCAAAGACAGTGAGCCTACTTTTCCCCAGGGCCTCCAGAGAGAAGCCTGACCCTCTTAGCAGGAGAGCAGAGTTGGCATCATAAGCAACCCCAAAAGCCCAGCAGCTGTATGCGTCCAAACGCTAAGCCCCCTCCCAGATCCTAGAAGATGTCATATTGTAACTGGAGCAACTCTAGAAAAAACTGGACATGTCCCTGAACGAAGACTATAATGTCATGTATCCACTCATCTACTGTCCAGATTGCCTAAAAATCTAATCTGTTTTTTGTTTGCCTTCAAGAAGAAATGCATCCTAATCTTTCTTTCCTTTGTTCTCCTTCAACGTTTAGGTTTTTGCCAACCTGAACAAGAACAAGGCCCCACCTCTACTAAAAATAGAAAAACCAGCCAGGCATCATGGCAGGTGCCTGCAGTCCCAGTTACTGGGGGAAGTTGACGCAGAAGATCACTTGAGCCCAAGAGTTTGAGGTTGCTGTAAGATAGGTTGACACCAAGGCACTCTAGCTTGGGCAACAGAGAGAGACTCTGTCTCAAAGAAAAAAAAAATTTTAGGGTTATGTATTTTGTTTGCATCGAAGTAATTTTTCCTAACTAAATTTTTCCTAGCTAAATTTTTCCTTCCTCATTCTGCATAGATGTTGTGATTTTTGTTGGGTTTAGCATTTTAAGGATTTTTTTTGAAACAGAGTCTCATTCCATCACTCTGGGTAGAGTGCTATGGCATCACAGCTCACAACAACCTCAAATTCTTGGGCTCAAGCAATTCTCTTGCCTCAGGCTCCCAAGTAGCTGGGACTACAGGTGTGTGTCTCTATGCCCAGCTATCTATTATGTGTTTTAATCAAATGTACAGTACTTCATGAACAAAGGAATTGTGTTTTGTCCTTTTGGGTATAGTATTCCATTTTCCTATTATTAAACACTTTTAAGACTTTTAAACAAATCTAAAATGGCTTCAGGCAAGGACTCTACCGATTCTTCACATGATCTAAAACACTGGACTGGACTGGTGTTGTGCAAGTTTACATATCCACTTTTCCCCCAGTGAGTAGCCCATACAGAATTCCTCTTGTTAGAGCTCCTAAATACCACCATTACGGCTGCCTGCCCGTGCTCTGAAGTACATTTGCTCACATAACTCCTTATGCTCCCCCAGCCTTCCCCTGTGATTTGTATTCGAAAATGGAGGAGAAAGGCTTAAGTGAGCACCTGAGTCATGTCCTACAGCACCCTCAACAAGCTCCCTTATGATCACAAATATTTATTTAGTTCATTGTGTGCTTAGCTTGGCCTAGATACTGGGAGAGAGCAAAGATCCTGAAGATCTCACTTCACCCTGCTGAACAAGAAGAAAACTACAACCAACGGAATCTAATGTCCCCTTTCAGCAATCCCTCACTTCATTGAGAAATGTCACTCAGAGTAAGATGCTATTTGGTAGAAGGTCAAGGCCCTCGAGGTGAGATTCTAAAGGAAAGAGAGAGAGCAATTTGGGAGCCTTTGAACAAAGCATAGCAGATTTCTCATGGTTATTATTCACTCACGTCTCTTTACGCAGTGAATTGTTCATCTGTGCCGTTTACTCATTTGTTTTCACTTAAGGTTAAGTATTTTTTATTAATTTAATGCATTTTTCATATATATATATATATATATATATATATTTACAGCTATATACTGTAGCTCATGCCTAATAATCCCAGGACTTTGGAAGGCCTGGCGGGGAGGACCAATTTAGGCCAAAGTTCTAAAACCAGCCTGGGCAACATTGTAAGATCCTGTTGCTACAAAAAATATGGACAGAAAAAGGATGCCAACCATTTGTCCAGGCAAGGAAGGATTTTGTCTCCAGGATAAAGTCTCAATCACTCTGAAGAGAAGGACAGGTGCCTACCTGAGCCCTAGTTATTGCTGGAACTTCTCACAGGACAGAGGAACATGTCACTCAGCTTAGACCAGCCCAGGTCACCAAAGCCAGAACCCAAGGGGGTGATGCTTTCTCCTCCCCCTCCACCTAGAATAGCCTCCTTCCACAGCACACGTGTCGCTTCAGACTTCAAACGTCAACCACTCTTTTAAACAGTAGAAGGGATGAAAATGAGCTATGTAAGATTTTTTTTTAAGGATTTTCTAACAGAGGAAGAAATGGAAATAAACCTTTGTTCAAATCTATTAAAAAAAAAAAAGAAAAACTAGAATACACTTGTAGACACTACTATAGACTCAAAAAATCTTCACTAATTACAAAGAAAATGACTTTGGCAGACAGACTAGATGCAGGAGAATATGCTCATGGGGCATCCACAGCACAGATTTCTTCCCATTTGGCCTCTACCTGGCCCAAGCCGACCCATGTGGCCTTGGATTCAGGAAGGAAACACCACCATCCTGACTGAGAGGATGAAACAATAGCTGCAAAAGGTTTGAGCTTCTGAGAGTTACAAGGTTCCTCCCCAGAGCTGTTATGTTCAACAACCTCTCATACCCCACCTGGCTATCCCATCTCCTCCCCTCCATTCTGGAGCTGACATCCTTTCTCCTCTCTAAACAACTCCAACTCCCCGGCTTTCCTGCCTTCTGCTGTTAAACTGTCCTACTCTGTCTCTCTAGCTATGACACTTTCCAACAGCTCCAAGCCAAAGCATTCCAAACTACCAACTTTAAATTTTCAGGGCCCTAGATCACTATATTCTTGGGGACCTGATAATTTGGTTTATCTAATGCTTTGAGGCATTGTGCACGTGTAAGGTATTTATTCTTTATTAATTTTTTTTATGAAGGTTGGTCTCAAACTCCTGAGCTCAAGCAATCCACCCACCTCGGCCTCCCAAACTGATAGGATTATGGGCATGAGCCACCATGCCAGCCAAATCTTTATTAAACTAATTATAAAATGGTGTATGGTACCAGTAAAAAAAAAAAAAAAAAAAAAAAGCTACAGGCCAGGTAGGCTGGCTCAGGCCTATAATCCTAGCACTCTAGGACTCCAAGATAGGAGGATTGCTTAAATTCAGGAGTTTGAGATCAATCTGAGGAAAAAAGAGACCCTGTCTCTACCAAAAACAGAAAAACTTAGCCAGGTGTTGTAGCGTTCACCTGTAGTCCCAGCCACTTGGGAGGCCGAAGCAGGAAGATGGCTTGAGCCCAAGAGTTTGAGGTTCCTATGAACTATAATGACACCACTGCACTCGACTGAGGGTGACAGAGCATGACCCTGTCTCAAAAAAAAAAAAAAGTTATAAATGCAAATGTACATGGGACAGGGGAGGCTTCAATTTCTATGATCCAAATTCCATTTGCCTGCTAGATTTGTTTTGTTTTGTTTTGCTTAGATAAAATGTTTTTTGTCTAACCAATGTCACAGTTTCTGTGTGTTTTCATGTCAGTCATATTAATATGCCCCCTTCCAATAATTATATGTAAATAAAAGGATGGCTCTTCTGTTTTAAAGCAAAACATTACCAATATATGGATCAGGTTAGCTAGACAAATTAGAATAGTTAAACTGAAAAAGCCAAGATTTCACAAATTCACATATTCCTAAGTAGGAGCTATGGAAAAAAAATATATATATATATACACACACATGTATATCTTTTTAATTGAGCTACCTGGCCCATAAGGAAAAAAAACCAAATCTGTTAAAAGCTAATAATTATTGGCGGGCGCGGTGGCTCACGCCTGTAATCCTAGCACTCTGGGACGCTGAGGTGGTAGATTGCCTGAGCTCAGGAATTGGAGACCAGCCTGAGCAAGACCCAGAACCCTGTCTCTATACTAAAAATAGAAAAATTAGCTGGGAGTGGTGGCAGCCGCCTATAGTCTCAGCTACTTAGGAGGGTGAGGCAGGAGAATCACTTGAACCCAGGAGTTTGAGGTTGCTGTGAGCTATGATACAAGAGCACTCTACTCAAGGTGACAGAGTGAGACTTTGTCTCAACAACAAAAAGCTAGTAAGTACTGGGTCACACCATAATTCTTTTCTTCCAGAATGCATACTATTTCTGGAGCATCTACCATGATGGTGGGCACTAGGCCAACCAGCCCACAAACATCATTTTCATTGATTCTTTTAAGGGGATTCTCTATCCCATCTTAGATTGTATAAACTTCGGTTTAGAGAATTAAGATCCCAAAGGCCAAGTAAGCAAAGCCAGGATGTCAACCCACCTTACCTCCCACTAAGACTGTGTTTATGGATCTTCAAAGGCATCGCCATAACTAAAAAAGAGCTGGAGAGGGGAAGGAGGTTAGGAGCGCCCTCTGAAAACACTAAAGACAGCCACTCACTTTGAGAAGGCAGAAGGAAATGTTGTTTGTTGGTGGTCCTTTTCAAGAGAGAGTGAGGAGTAGGAGGGGAGTAAGCAGTAGAGACCCCACAGCAGGAAAGGTGGTGGTGGGCCCTGTATTATCACTTTGACTTGGGCCAGCAGAGAGAACAGGACAGCAAGTGATGAACGCCCAGGCCCACTGGGTCCCATATTTCCCTGCATGGTATCAAGCCCAAAGCCAGCTTCCCTCTCCTAACAAAACAAAAACCAAAACATGGTACCACTGACTGCTTCTCTGCCTCTTCATCAAAAGGGTTCTACGATATTATTCTAAACTTAAAATCAAATTTATGGTTTTATTTTCAAAAAATAATTTCACAAGAACCTCTTGAATATACTGGAAGTACTTAAGATGAAAACATAAAAACAAAGGTTTGGGAATCAGTGGTGTGAGGAGAAGATGGACTGTTCTTCTTTTTGGAAAAAGGATCTCACTGTCTTAGTTCACAGCAACCTTGAACTTCTGGGTTCAAGCAATCCTCCTGCCTCAGCCTCCCAAGTAGCTGAGGCTACAGGCGCCCACCACAACACCTGGTTAATTTTTGTTTTTAGTAGATGGGGGTCTGGCTCTTGCTTAGGCTGGTCTCCAACTCCAGAGCTCAAGAGATCCACCACCTTAGCATCCCAGGATAATAGGATTACAGGCGTGAGCCACCGCGGCCGGGCTGGATTAATCTCTCCTGTTCAAAGGCTTCTAGAACAGGGTTTTGAGGCACCAGCGTGTTCAGAAGAGAAGACAGGCTGTCTTTGATTTCATCTCGGACTCCTTCTTCCCCGAGGAAAGAGGAGCCAATTGTTTTCTTTTCCTTAAAAGTAGTCCACACAGCCCACACTTAAGTTCCCAAGAAATGGTCAAAATATCCTGTTTCCCAAATGTACAAGGTGCTTTATACAGGACGGAAAAGCGGGGGCAGTCCAGCCCAATAAAGCCTATTTCTACAGGAGCATCCCACTCGGAGTTGGCTTCTTCTCCATCAGAAGCAGGAAAAAAAAGATAAAAGCAGGAAGCTGCATCTGTCACAGAACGATGGTGAGACTCCAATTTCCCACGTGCCAGCACCGCCTCCCGCACCCGCACCCTTCACCTTGTTCGTGAGGTAAGAAGCCAGGTAGCAGGTACAGAAGGTGAGGCCGACCAGGGACCTCCTACCGCACATCTGTCAGTTCGCTCCTTTCCTGGGGACGGGCGACTCCCGCCCGCCCACCTGACCCCCTGGATGCAGCTGGAGCCTGGCCGCTGGACCCCAGCAATAGCTCCAGCCCGGAAACCGCCACGTGGCTCCGCGCTCGGCCAATCAGCGCGGGGGCCACCCCCGCCCCTGGAGCCTGCCTTAAAGGGGCCGAGCCTGCGGAGGCCCAGCAGCCTCGCGGCGGGTGGGGCTGCTGGCAACCTCCCTTCTGTTAGCAGGAAGGGAAGTCGGCCAGGGCTGCGACCGCTGGTAGCGAAAGTTCTGACTATAGTCCTTGTAATAAATAAATAAATAAATAAATAAATAAATAAAGTAGTACCGTTCTCCTTAGTAAAGTATCTCAAGAATTGGAAAAGCAGGCACCCTGTGTACTCAGTACTCATTTGAAACTAGGAGATGAACAACTACTGGCCTATACGAGAGAAAAACACAATCAAATTAAAGTAGGATGGAGGAGGGATAGGAGGGGGCTCGGTAAACTCTCACCTAATGGGTACAGCGTAGGGGTGGGTATATGGCACACCTACTGGGTGAAGGACACACCTGCAACTCTGGACTCTACCTAACAAACGCAATCAATGTAACACAATCATATGCATCCTTATGTTAATCTGAAATAAAAATGCACATACATATCTAAAAAAGTATATATCAAAAAACGATTTTTTAAAAAGTAGAAAGTGGTAGAGGAGGAGGGGGGAAAAGCAGTTTACAAACAGTTCACAAAACTGCATTTCTATTTAAAAAAAATCCACATCTATCGCTAAACAATGGGACCAAAAGTTGCCTGTGCTTTATTCAATTTTCTATATTAAGTCTCTGTTAGACACAAAAAACCAACAACAATAAATGTTATTTTAAAAGAAGGAAGGTTGAGGGGGAAGGAACTAGAACAAGTATAGCTTTTTTGAGGGAGGGGGGAGACAAGGTCTCACTTAGTCATAGTCATCCTTGGTAGAGGGCCATGGCATCATAGCTCACAACCGCCTCAAACTCTTCGGCTCAAGAGATCCTTTTGCCTCAGCCTCCTGAGTAGCTCGGACTACAGGTACCTGCCCACAACCCTGGCTAGTTTTAGATACGGAGTCTCGCTCTTGCTCAGGCTGGTCTCCAACTCCTGAGCTCAAGCAATCTACCTGCCTCACCCTCCCCACGTGTGATTACAGGTGTGAGCCACCATGCCCAGCCTTTTTTTTTTTTAAAGAAGTGTTGACATTTCTTTGAAATAAGATCTCTTTCCCAAAGTAGAGTTTCAAGCTCTGTTCTTACTAATCTCTAGGGTAAACACTTGGCCTAATTAGGTTTCTGACAAATAGTAAATGTACAGGAAAACCGGACTTGGTGTGTAACAAGAAGTACAAGTGTTCCCTGCCTATAGAAATACACATTCTCAGAAACACCCCCCACACCATGAAACCTTCACTCTTAAGCCATAGTCTACACTATGGCCCTCAGTGCTAGAGCAGTGGATGGAAAAAGGCAGGCCCCATTTCCCTCTGCTCCCTGGAGTACTGAGGGATAGCTGACATTGGCTCCTCCCCTTGAAGCCACTCCCAAGCCTCCAGGGTCCTGGAAACAGAGTCTCGCTCTGTTGCCCTGAGTAGAGTGCCATGACATCATATCTCACAGCAACCTCAAACTCCTGGGCTCAAATGATCCTCTTGCCTCAGGCTCCCAAGTAGCTGGGACTACAGGTGGGAACCCCTCACACACCCAGCTAATTTTTTCCATTTTTAGTAGAGTTGGGGGGTCTCATTCTTGCCTGGAACTCCTGAGTTCAAGCAATCCACACCCCTCAGCCTTCCAGAATACTAGGTTACAGGAGTGAGCTGAGCCACGGCGCCTGGCCTCTGCTGATTTTTCTGCAATTCTCTGCCTGAGCCTCCAGGTTGGTCTTCCAAGAGGACCAGCAGAGAGGAGAGGGGAAAAGAGGGAGAGAAAGCAGGGAAGGGAGAGGAGATCA